CCATAACCCTCCACCACGCCATACCCCCATCCTCCGTCCCCATCCCCCTCCCCCTTCCTCCTCCTCCTCCTCCTCCTCCTCCCCTCCCCCCTCCTCATCTTCATCCTCCTTCTCTTCCTCCTCCTCCTCCTCCTCCTTCTTCTTCTCCTCCTCATAGTTTTATGTGTGCTATTACTTAAAGTATTAACACTGGTATTTTTATCATTATTAGTATTGTGAGTATTATTAGCATTAGTAACTTTATTGTTTTTAGTACTAGTATGATTAGTGTTATTATTATTGTTCGTATAATTATTAGTAATATTAGTATTACGAGAACTAATGTTAGTAGTATCAGTAGTATCGTTATTATTAGTAGTGGTATTAGCAGTAGCAGTAGCATTCACATTAAAAGTACGAATCCCAATGGTAGTACCAATACTGTTTGTATGGTTCTGAATTAAAGTATTATTAGCATGAGTATTAGCATGAGTACTATCGCTAGTTTTAGTACTAGTAGTGGTGTTAGTTTTAGTATTCGCATTAGTAGCCGCATTAGTATTAGTATGAGTAGTAGTATTCGTATCCGTATTAGTATTAGTATTAGCGTGAGTATTCGTATTATTATTAGTAGTAGTATTGAAACTGGTAGCAGTAATGGTGTTAGTATTCGTGTTCGTATTAGTATTTGTATTAGCACTAGTAATAGTAATAGTAATAGTGACTGTAGCAGTACGATGGTTGATATTCTGATCCGTAATAGTATTAATAAGTATGAATTATAATACTAGTATGATGAATATTCGTAAAGCTATTAGCATTCGTAGTATTAAAACTAGTATTACTGATATTCGTATTGTTATTGGTAGTTGTAGTAGCAGTAGTAGTAATATTGTTAGTATTAATAGTACTGGTGTTGGTAGCTGTCAAATGATTATTGGTAGTAGTAGTAATAGTATCAGTGTTGGTGATTATATTATTCTTTATAGAAATGCGATTATTAAAAACATTAGTATGAGTATGCGTAGTAGTATCAGTAATAGTAGTATCATGAGTAGTAGTATCATTCATATCACTATTAGTAGTGTTATTCACACTATCGTGGTTGTTCGGAATAGTACTACTACTGTCAGTATTACTAGTATTGTTACGATTACCAACACTAGTATGATTATCATTACTCCTCGTATTGTGACTAGTATCGGTATGAGTATCAGCATTATTGATACAAACAGAAAATAACATTAGTAGTATTACGTTTAAGTAGTATTCGTATTATGTTTGGTAGCATTATTAACACTATTTCTATGACTCGTATTATGATCATGCTTCTGCTTAGTATGCTTTATTCTCATTATTAGTATTCGAAATGTTGGTATTCCTTTTGTGTTTATTATCATTACTATTACGGTTCTTTTGGTTAGTCCTAGCCATATTCTTCTTATTATTACTCCTCTCAGCATTCGTAGTGTTACTCTTTTTCTTCTCCATATTCTCATTAACATTGATTTTCGTATTAGTACCATTATTTTATTTATCATGCATATTATTTAACTATGATTGGTAATATTCCTAGTGATACTAATACTATTCGTTTTCTTCTCATTCGGAATATTATCATTATTGTTGCTATCACTATCATTATGATTTTGATTACTCCTCATACTATCATTATCTCATTAGTTTTTTTTCATACTTCCTCCTCCTCCTTCTCCTCCTGGGTTTCTGATTGTCGGTGGGTCCTTCTCCTCCGACAAGTGCCGCTCCGCCGCTTCCAGGCTCGCGGCTGTACGGGCGGCGCGCGCCAGGGCCTGCGCGGCACCCTCGCGGTCCCGGAACAGCGCCGCCAAGTCCTCCTCTTGGCGGCCGGGACGGAAACCCGAAGAGAACTGATGAGGGAGGAGAAAGAAGAGGAAGCGACTACGTACAAGTAAAGGTTCCTGGTAATAAGTTATGTTTTACGATGAGCTGAATAGCAAGGTTAAGGTTGAAACGGGAATACCACCGGCACGAAAGGTTGGCCAGCTGTCGTGCCCCCGAGCAGAAGCGGCAGCGGTGAGGGAGACGCTTACAGAAGCCAGAGACAGTGCAATATCAGGACGCTATGTGGCAAAAGCGCTGCGTCACACAACGTCGTCCTGCATGGCCTTCACGAAGGGCCCCAAAACAATGACCTACCGTTCGAGCCTGGTGCTCAAACGAATACGCTTGCACCTCGTCGGTCAAAATACGAAAACCGCGCGCAAACCAACGAAGTAAACGCAAGCCAAAATGAGAGGACGCTCCACTAACCACGCCCCTCATAATGGGTTGCGCGAGCGAGGGCAGCCGAGCACAGAGGACCTGCCACTGACCAGGTAGGTCCTCAATAAAAACTGCCCAGCAGCAGAATATTCGAATGGAGCACGCAATTCTCCACTCGCAATTTCTGCTGTCCGAAACCGGCTGACCCACGAGCACAATCCGTGGAAGCAGCCCACTCACTGGCACGCTTCGCTCTTCGCATCTCTCTCTTCCTGATGGGTTGCGTCGCACTCGCGAACACAATTCGCGAAATGCGCGCCGAGAGCGGCATTCGCGAACATAGTCCGGACATGCGGCGCCGATTAGGCTACCCAGTAGCGTCGTCGCGCCTGTTGCGATTGCTGCGGCGGGAGCTCGGCACCGTCTCCTCGCGCCGCTCCTCGCCCAACCTCACTACGAGGCGTTCGTAGGCGAGTTCCCCCCCACGATGTCGAAGAGGAGCTCCCAGCCGACACTTCCCTCCGTCATGGGGTCGGCCCTCACGTCGCGAGTGTCGCACCACAGTATGCCGGACACCTGTTCGGCGCGCAGCTGGTCTGCTAGCCATCAAAGGCGGCCTGCCAGATTATTATTTGATGGCGGCCGGACGCGGCCCATGACTAGGGCTGAGAGAACGAACATACCGTCCACGACCAGCTCGGCCAGCACGGCGCAACCTCCGCCCCCCCTCAGCCCCCCGATTTCATCGGCCGAGGCGGGCCCGCGCACCATCCCGCGGAGCGCCAGGAGGAACGCCCGCAAGCCGTCTGCTGCTCCACATGCTGCGAGCAGCGCAGAGCGAAGGATGATCGACGCACACACGCTTGTCCGATCGGCTCACAGCGTCAAGCAGTTGGCAGATCTGTTCACTAGCACTGCGACACTTGCCCAGACGCACGCATGCGGCGCCACGCACGCCGCATCCTCCCCCCCACGCTTGAACGAGCCGTCGCTGCGCACGCAGATCTGGCTCGTGCAAGACATCGCCAGAAAGGCGGCGCGCGCCATAATAATCTGCGCGGCCAGAACAACGGAGTCAAGCTGCATCACGCGTCTGGCAAGCAGCTTGTTCTTGGCCAGCTGCAGCGCGACGACGTAGATGGCGACGCGGCGTCGCGCGAGCAGCGCGCAGGCAGCTGCTCCGAGAAAGGAGACGAAGAGATTCGGGAACAACCCTCTGGCCAGCTCGTCGGCCTTCGACTTGACCAGGTCAGGTCAACGTGCCGATGGGGATCAGCGCGTCGATGCACTCGTCCTGGTCGAGCGCCACTGCACGATCGGCACTGCGGTGCTGGTGGACTGCGCAGTTGGCGAAGCCGTCGTGGCCCCCCTTTATACTGCCGAAGATGCTCTCGATGTGGCCGATGAGTCGGTCGACGTGATCCTTGCGTCTCGCGATCTTGAGATCGTCAACGCGCTTGGACAGAATGAGCACAACCCTGAACCGCTGGCACCACAGGTGCCAGACGCCTCATGTTCGACGCCAAGGTCAGGGCCCCATCGCGTCGGCTTAGCATTGCACTGGGGCGCGCGCGCGGCCCTGGCGAGCCTCGCGAAGAAAGCTCTGGGCGCATCCGCGCAGCCCGTGCCCGGCTCGATGCAGCGCAGGCACCCGGTCCGCTCGTCGAAAGACTCGCATCCTGGAACCTGCCGGAGGATAGCAGCACGGCCGGGCGGCAGGGTGAAGTTCACATCTCGCGGCGCTTCGCCTTGCTCCTGCATCTCGGCATAGGTCATGCCCGGCAAGAGAGCCTTCTCGACGTCCGCGGCGACGCACACCCAGTCTGGGCGACGCGCCGCCTCCGAAGACGGAACGCGCCGGGGCGCCCGTTTCGCCGCGGCGGCAAACGCCCCCAGGACTCTGGCGCCCATGTCGTGGAAGCCTCTCAGCGCCACGCGGCGCCAGATGGTCCCGGCCACTTTGCCGCCAGGTCCTTGCGGCGCCCCCACTCGAACACGCGTCTGGGGCCCACGACGTTCCAAGCGCCTCTGCGAGGACGTTACCCGAAACACTTGAACTTGATCCAGCTTCTGAGCTCCTCCAGGACGGCGGCGGCCACCTCCTTGGACAGCCTCGACGCCCCCCCTCTGGCTTGGAGATCGGCGCCGAGCTCGACTACCGCGGTCTTGACGGCGGCATATACTTTAAGCACGGCTGTGGTGGACGCGCCGGCAACATTGTCGCCCTCGTGGCAGCTCAGGAATGCCTCTCGCACTCGGGGCCCCAGTAAAACTCCACGCGTGATCATCCTTATCCCCCTCGTTTAGCTTGGTGCAGTCGTCTAAGGAGGCGCCGCGCAAGCAGCAGGGCACTGAGCGCGGATGTACTCGCGTGGCCGGCGGCCTATGCTGGCGGCCGCGTGCTCGACGGCAGCGTAGACCGGCTGGTGGCTGTCGGTGCTCTCCAGCTCCGGTAGCTCCTGGGCCAGATCCTCCGCGCCCTCGACTTCCTGCCATGCTACCAGGATCACCTGCTGAATGTGGCCGGAGAAGTCGCTGTCGGCCTCTTCGGGCATCACCGACAGGCCCGATGGTGAATCACCCTCGGCGACGCTGGCGGCGTCCTCGGGAACGTCGATAGCACTGTCAGCGATCGCCCCGCCCGGGCCCTGCCCGGCGTCGGCTGCCAGCAGCTGCCCGCCACCCAAGACAGACTGAATGATGCGAGCGCCCTTCTACTGCTCGTCGATGAGGTCGCGGGCGTCGCACTCGACGCTGTCCAAAGGCAGCAGGCGGACGTCGCCTGGGTTCTGAAGCTGAGGGGGCCACCAGATGACCAGACCGCAGATGCAGCCTGGCCAGCCGCCCACCGATTTCTGGCCGCGCACGACGCACGCGGCACGGACGCCAGGTAGCGGAAAGTATCTGCGGGGCAAATGGCGCAAAGAGTCGAGGACACCATAACGTTGCAGAGCCCGTTCAGTCAGCTGCTTGCCCCGCTCGTTTTCCCAGTGGCCGAAAGTCGTGGCCCCTGAGCCTGGCGCGATGTGCTCTGGGGTTCTGCACGCGATCCCAGGCCAAGCCTGCCCGCGCAATGCCCGTGCCCACGCGTTCGAAGACGGCGCCAACGAAGGTCCGTTCGCCACGAAGTCTGCGGAAAATCTCGGCGTTGCGGCACTTCACCGCAACCTCGCCTCTAGCCGGGCCCACGGGAAGGACGGCGCCAGGACCTGCCGAGCCTGACGCGCCCTGCGCGCTGGGAGGCTGGCCAAGCTCCAGCTGATCACCCACACTGAAGCGCCCCTGTCCAATCTTTGTGGCGCGTGTCCGAAGGGCGCGGCTAACGCGGGCGGTCGAAGTAGCCTCGATCATACGCTGCACGTCAATATCATGGATACGCCACGGCAGTCGGCCGGGCTGTACCCCACCACCAGCAGCGAGAACGGCTCTGGCGACACAGTCGCCCTCGCACCCCGCGTCTGCTTCGAGCGGCGGCAGCGCGGAGGGCCGCCTGCCGAAGACGACGCCGCGCGGCGCAAGGCCGCCCGCGCGGGCGGGGATGTTGCCAGCGAAGAGGGCATGGGCCAGCATGGAGTCGAAGTTAGCGGCAATGCTATCGCGCTCCAGCTGCTCATCGGCGGCGCGCAATGCACGTCGTAAAATTGCACCACGTCGCTCTCGAAGTACGTGGAGGCCACCCCGCCTTCGCAGTCCACGATGAAGGTTTCCACTGGTCCGAATAGCTGGGTCTAGGACCTGTCGACTGCTGCCAGCACCGTCGAGTCGCATCTGTCCACGATCTCCTGGCCGTTGCGCCACCGTAAGGCACGGCAGAACAAGTGCAATAATATGCGATCCTCGTTATAAAGAACGTCGCAGCCAACGCTTTGGGCAAATCGGGTCGAAAGGCGCAGCGCGGGAATGGGGCGGCGCGCTGGCGGGGGCCACCCACGACGTCCCCGACAATCGTTGACCACTGCGGCGACGAGGTCAAGGATGGACTGCGGCGAGCTGGGCGCGCGCAATGAGCCAGCCATCTCCATTGCTCCGACATCGATTCCTCAAGGTAGTTGAGCCTGTTGGTCGCCCGTTGGGCGCGGCCCCCCAGGTCGCGCCGGCGCTCGCGGATGTTGGCAGGCACGCGCACGCAGCCGCGCATGGGGACCCGCGAACCTGCACTTGCTGAGCTCGTGGGCGCGCGATGAATGGTCGCGTTCCTGCTCCTCGCGGCAGCCTCGGCTTTCCCCGCGCATGGGGGCGCTGAGGACACGGGCAAATGGCCAGATCTCGGGAGTGCCTCGGCGAATATGATCGCGCGTTGCGCCGGCGCGCCTTGCGTGTGCACCGCGCGCCTCCGGCTGCTATGGCACCCCTGATTTCGCCCTCCTTGGCCCCTGAGCGCCGCTGGAAAGGCTGCCGCCTCGACACCGCATTCGCGAACATGGGTCGCCATGCGCGGGCGTCTCAGGCGTCGGCGTGGGCCCACGATGCCCTGGACACGCCGTTCGGGCATCATACATGTCAGATTTGGGCGTCGAAGCCGTCGCGGCCCTCGACGCGCACGCGGGCGCGCTGGTCGGTGCACTTGAGGCTCAAGATCTGCTCGAGGACCCCCCGGACGTTGGAGGCCAGGCCCGCCGTCTTTCGTAGAGTACCCCCGCGACGAAGACGACCTCGCGCACGCCCAGCGACGCCAGCACCCGTGGCCAAGGCGGCCCGCTGCACAACCGCGAGGGATCGGGCTGCTCGCTAACGAAGTCGCCGCCGAGCTGCAGCTGTAGAATTGCCACGCAGCTGCAGACTCGGCCATGCGGGGCCGCGCCCTCGTAGGAGCGCGGCCAGGCGCTGCGGCAACGCGGGCAGTCAAACGCGGCCCAACGACAGACAGGCCTGCAGGCGGGAGCCACGATGGCCACTAGGGGGCGATTGTGTCGGACCCACGGCTCCCAGACTCTCTGCTGGCTCTCGTCGTTGAGGTCGCAGCCAAGCACCAAGTCGAATTTGGCGCTCACCTTGAGATGACGGCGGACAGCAAGTCGGCTGGCCCGAGCCCCCCCACCGCATCTCCACGGTGTCAGCGCTGTAACCGATGGAGGTGAGGTCGGAGAAGGAGCGATGAACGTCGTCGAACTTGGCAGGCTGAACCGTTTTGAGCACTCGCCAGATGGCGATCCGCTGCCGGGGCCGAAGAGCCGCGGCACCACCGCGCCGGCAAGCCTGAGGCGAGGCTGCCGCGGAAATCGTCGTCGTCGCATTCGTCAGAGCGACCCAGCTCGCCAACGCCTGGAAAGCCAAAAACAAATATGGGGCCGGAACTGTGAGGTCGGTGCCGCCGTCGTCGCAGTGGCACCCCACGACCTTCTCACGCGCTTTGGCCACGTGGCCCTCCTTTATCTTCGCTCCCCGGCGCATGCGCTATGCTGTAGGGTAGGCGCCGGCAAAGCATTTGTCGGACACGTGGTCCTGAATGTCTTGCTGGGCGCTCTGGCCCGTGGCGCGCTGATCGGCGTCGCGCTTGCCAGTCACCGCAAGACAGGAAGTAGCGCTGGCACTGTCCTCAGAACATACCGTTCTCGATGATATTGGTCCGTGGTCCTGAACGCACTGTTCGGCGTCGCGCTTGCCAGTCGTCGTAGGCCAGGAAATAATGCTCGATCCTGGCGCTGGGACAGCTGCTGCACCTCGCCGAAGGCGCCCCTTCCGAGGCGCGCTGCCGGCCATTGAAATTCAACGGCAGTAGGGCGGGAGACGCAACACGTCGCGGCACATCAAGCCCAGATAGGCATGCCTGTTTGCACTTGTCCTGTCGTTTCGGTGCTCCTCGAACGTAATGTCGCAGCGACATAGCTGGTGGGGAATAGGTGTTCCGGTGAAAGTCGTAAAGGATACGCCACTGTGCTTAGCCTCTGGCATGGAAAGCTTGCGGCAACCTTGAATCTTGCCGTGGTATTACACGTTGGTGCCAGTTAGCTGCTTTACGGCTGCGCATCGCCACTGAGGTCCGCGCAGTCCGAAAATCACGATCCTGGCGCCAGAGTCCTTGACCTGGGCGCACCAGTCAGGAAAAAAACAACAATGCATTGCATTCCATCCCGGTTCGCATTGCACGTGGCTCACAGCATACATGGCTTGTGTTGGGACATGCGTTGTCTGACAAGGACCCTATGGCGTTCGAGTAAGACGTCGTAGCCGTACTCCTGTAGTGCTAATGAAGTGTCCCCCCCTCACTCCACGACCCACCCAGACGCTGGGCCAGCCTTGCGGGCTGAAGCATCCCCCTCCTGATGTATCGGTTGCGCGGGGTCTTCAGTAACACAATTACCCTCCGACCCTCCTGGTGCCGCAGTGCCCGATTCCTGCGGGATGGGGTCGGGGCTGAGGTATGTCATGCCAATATAACCAAAGCCCCCAGAGCCGCGGGAGGATAAAGGAAGGTTGGTGACGACCACGTTGTCGGAGTCCGTGACGATGCGCTCCAGGATGGGTTGGGCGATCCTCTCGCCCTGCTCGACCACGAACGTCCGCGGGCTAGCGTTGCGCATGACCACATTGATCTCACCGCGGTAGTCGGGGTCCGCAACTCCGCCCACGACGTCGATGCCCTTGAGGGCCAATCTTGAACGTGGGGCAATCCGTAGGTAAATGCCCGGTGGCGCAACAGCGGCCACGCCCGTAGATACCAGTTCGTGACCACAGGTCGCGACACTGACGTCCGCGCAGGCAAATCACTAGATCGCAGCCTGCTGCCTGAGGTGAGCCCCGCACTGGCGCTTGTACGCTAGGGCCAAAAAGCTGTATTTTTAAAAATTCGCGGGCGTCGTTGGTGTCGCGGCCCTCGCGTTTGTTGCCCATTGCCAAAGAGTGTGAACTGCTTGGGTCCTAGTCCCCCGGTCGGTGGTCGGAGTTGGCCAAAACTGTCGACTGGTATGCATAGGTAGCCCCTTGGAGCTGACACTAACTCAAAGTGCATGGTACCTGGGCCCCAGCTGAGTTCGTAGTCTCCAGGACCGGGAAACTTGAGGCGTTTGCGTGCTACGCCTGTCTCCACAACCCTGCTATTGGACTTCGTGGATTGCAGACCAAGAAGGGCACGGATATCGAAGCCATCGCCCAACACTGCGGGAGCACGCATACTGTGCTGGGTGGTCACGTCATCGCGGGCGGTAACCGCAATAGGGCAATCTACCTCCCAATGAGCAACCTGTGAGCCATTGCCCACTCCTGCTACGTAGAGTGGAGACGTCAGCCTCCTCTGTGGGCTGGAGCCTCGCATTTACCACTTTGTCGGCCAGTTTCACCGCGAAGCGTTGCCCCCAGAGGTTGGTCCAGGCGCTGGTACTCACGATGACACTAAGCCGGCCGCCTGAGAGGTCGGCGCTCGCCAAATAGTCTGGGGAGTCGGTCAGTGGACTCGGGCCGTTACCTGACGAGATTGGCCACCACGGGAACGTCGGTCGGTGCGGCGGAGCATGCAGGTCCAAGTGGGCGTCGCACGGTACTGCCACGTCGCCAGCGGACACAAAATTGGAAGCACTGCCCTGGGACCGCATAAGATCCTGCCGTGGTGTCCCAGGTGTCGGTGCGGGCCGAAGAGTCTGGATGGTGTCCTGCTGTGGTGGTGTCTCCTCTGGCACGCTGTCGTCTGGCATCAGTTGGGCCGGCACCACAGGTGCTGGACCCGGAGTACCAGGATCTGCCGCACGGGCCGGCAACGTTTGTACACAGTTGCTGGACCCGCTGCAGCACGATCTGCACCAATGATGCGGAACTCGGCGATGACGTCAGCCTGGCTTCGGCACGCCAGGCAGTAACCCAAGTGGGCGCCGGTGTCCTGAAGAAGCTGAAGGTGGCATTCCTGGAGGGGCGGCGCCAGAGGCGCCGCCAGGGGGATCCAGAGAAGATCCAGGAAATCCGCGCGGACCCCCGAAAGTTGATGCTTATGTGATTGTATGTTCCCCGATATCCGCCAACAAAACGTTCTGCCCCTGACGCCCCCGAGACCCCCGACAGTCCTCCGAGGCCCCCGAAACTCCGCCAGAGGCACCCGCTGCCCCAATAGCTCCAATTGCCCCAGATGCTCCCCGACATCATCCCGGCATCCGAACGTTGCCCCTGACGTTCCCGAGGCCCCCGATACAGTCGGGCTGCTGAAAGAAGGAAAGCTAAATAAGAAACGAAGCCCCTTGGTTGGCCACAAAAGAGCCTGGGTGCACGAGCAGCGCTAGAGGAACAACCATGGAAGGATCTGAGGAACAGCGAGTCCCTTCCGAACCCAGACTGCTCATTATTTCAACGTCTTGGCTGCAGTCCTCCACCCTCGCGCCCCGCCCCTGCAGCAGCGCAACCTCGGCCTCCAGGCGAGCCAGCGGCGCGCCGCAGCGCTGCTCGGCGGCGGCCTGCGCGGCAGTCCCGGCGGGGCGCCCCGAAGCAACCCTGCTCCCCCATCCGCCCTCCCACTCCTCCTCCTCCTCCTCCTCCTCCTCCTCCTCCTCTCCTCCTCCTCTCCGTCCTCCTCCTCCTCCTCCTCACTCCTCCTCCTCCTACTCCTCCAGTCCTCCTCCTCCTCCTCCTCCTCTCCTCCTCCTCCTCCTCCTCTCTCCTCCTCCTCCTCCTCCTCCTCCTCCTCCCCTCCTCCTCCTCCTCCTCCTCCTCCTCCCCTCCCCCTCCTCTCGTCCTTCATCATCATCCTCCTCCTCCTCCTCCTCCTCCTCTCCTCCTCCTCCTTTTCCTCCTCCTCCTCCGCCTCCTTCCGTCTGCCTCCAGTTATTTCTCCTCCTTTTCCTTTTCCTTTTCCTTTCCTTTTCCTTGTCCTGTTCCTTTCCTTTTCCTTTTCTCTCACCTCCTCCTCCTCCTCCTCCGACTTCTTCCGACTCTTCTCCTCCTCATCATCATCACATCATCAATCATCCATCATCATCCTCATCATCATCATCATCATCATCATCAATCATCATCATCATCATCTCATCATCATCATCATCGTAATCGTCATCGTCATCATCATCATCATCTCATCATCATCATCATTCTCATCATCAACCACCACCACCACCATCATCATCATCATCATCATCACCATCATCATCACCATCATCATCATCATCAGCAGCAGCAGCAGGCAGCACATCATCATCATCATCATCATCATCATCACCATCATCATCATCATCAGCATCATCATCATCATCATCACCACCACCACCATCACCACCACACCACCACCACCACCATCATCATCATCATCATCATCATCATCATCATCTCATCATCATGATCATCATTATCATCATCATCATCATCATCATCATCATCATCATCAGCATCATCATCATCATCATCATCATCAAGATCATCATCTCTCAGCATCATCATATCAGCATCATCATCATAATCATCATCATCAGCATCATCATCATCCACCCACCACCACCACCATCATCATCATCATCATCATCATCATCATCATCATCATCATCATCATCATCATCATCATCATCATCATCATCAGCATCATCATCAGCATCATCATCCGCATCATCACCATCAGCAGCAGTATCAGCATCATCATCATCATAATCATCATCATCATCACCACCACCACCACAACCATCATCATCATCATCATCAGCATCATCATCGTCAGCATCAGCATCATCATCGTCATTATCATCATCATCATCATCACCATCATCATCATCGTCAGCGTCAGCATCATCATCATCAGCATCATCATCAGAATCATCATCATCATCATCGTCATCATCATCATCATCTCCATCATCATCATCACCATCACCATCGTCATCATCATCATTAATATCATCATCGCCACCACAATCAACATCATCATCAACATCATCATCGACATCATCATCGTCATCGTCATCATCACCACCACCACCATCATCATCATCGCAATCACTGTCACCATCACAATGACCATCACCATCACTATCATCATCATCATCCCTGAACTGATGTCCCTGGAGGGTGCCTGGACCTATTGGGGCCTCCGCAAGTAGCGGCAAGACTTCTCTAACGAATTCCCCTGTGCTGCTGAATTGCGAGGTCTCAAGCGAAACGGCCTTTCTGGCATCCGCGAGTATCAGCAAGAATGATCTGAAAGACCCCCCACTGTGGTGCTGCACTTTGAAGAAATATCAGGCGAAGAGGCCGCTCTGGCATCCGCGAGTGGCGGCAACCTGGTTCTGAAGAATCTCCATGTGGTGCTGAATTGCGAGGAGGTCTCGAGCGAAAAGGCCGCTCCGGCACCCGCAAGTAATGGAAAGATTGCTCTGAAGGACCCCCCCCCTGTGGTGCTAAATTGCGAAGAAGTCGCAGGCGAGAGCGCCCTTCCTGAGGTTCGGGCCCTCTGGCCAGGGCCTCTCGGAGTCAAGTGTGAGGAGTATCCCACGGGAGCGTTATTATAATTGGGGGGCCGGTTTGGGCGCAACCCAGAAAATCTTGAGCGTGAGCCTCCCAACAATCAGAAGGTCTAGAAATTAACACGCATCAATAACAGCAACAAGAATATCATCATGATCACCATCGTCATCAGCAGCAGCAGCAACGGCAGTAGACACAGCAGCAGCAGCAGAAGTTCGATCATCATTATCATCAACAGCAGCGGCATAATCATCATCACCATCACCACCAGTTCCACCACCACCATCATCATCATCAGAATCATAATCAAAAAAATCATCATCATCACCATCATCATCATCATCATCATCATCATCATCATAATCATCATCCTCTGCATCATCGTCAACCACGTCATCCTAAGCAGCAGCAGCAGCATCTGCAGCAGCAGCCGCAGCATCATCATCATAACTTTCATCAGCACCAGCATGATCAACATCATCAGCAGCAGCATCATAACATTCTCGTCATCGTCATCGCCACCACCACCATCACCATTATCATCATCATAACCACCATATCCATCGTCATCAATATCGCCATCCTTATCATCATCATCATCGTCCTGATCACCCTCACCAAAATCGTTTGCATCAGCACCATCTTTGTTATCGTCATCACACTGACCGTGAGCATCAGCATCATATCGTCATCATCATCGCCATCCTCATCATCACCATCAGCATGACCATCATCATCCCCATCACCATCACCATCATCAGCATGAGCGTCATCTTCACGACCATGATCATCGCCAAAATCAGAATTAACATCAGCATCGTCAAGCAGCATCAGTACAATCATCATCAGTATCGATACCATCAACATCAGCATCATCATCCTCAACCCCGGCATGATGATCACCATCAGCATCATCATCCCCAGCATCAGCATCAGCATGGCCGCTCGCATCATAATATTCAGAACCCTCCTCATCATCCTCAGCATGACGATTATAACCCGCATCACCATCATCATCAGCATTACCATCACCATCACCATTCTCAACATCAGCATCATCGTCGCCCTGGAAAGCAGCATCGCCAGATGCATCAACATCATCATGATCACCCTCAGCATCAGCATCAGAATCATCAGCGTCAGCATCACCACCATCATCACCGTCAGCATGGGTCAGCATGATCATGACCCTCAGCAGTAGCATCAGCATCACCCACACAACCCCCAGTGTCATGATTCTGATCAGCATCATCATCAGCAGCATCAGCATCATCTGGATCAGCATCATCATCATCATCGTCGTCGTCGTCGTCGACGTGGTTGTCGTCGTCAGCAGCCAAACCATCAGCGTAATCACCGGCGCCATTATCAGTACCACCATCGTCATCAGCATCATCATCCTCAGCATCAGCATCAATTTCAGCATGACCACCATCAACACCATGAGCAGCATCATAATAATCATCAACACCGTCATCATCATCACCATCATGCTTATCATCATCATCACCGCCCTCAGCATCAACATCATCCGCACCTGCATCAGCATCAGCATCATCACCATCATAACCCTCATCACAGTCATCATCGTCCTCAGCATCAGCATCATCATCACCAGTATCACCACCATCATCATCACCATCATCATCAGCATCCTCAGCATCATCAGAATCAACATCATCATCATCATCGGCATCATCATCGTAATCACAATCATCCTGATCATATTTATCAGCATCCTCATCATCACCATCGTCAACTTCACCATCATCATGATCATCGTCACCATCATCATCCGCAAAATCATCATTACAAGCAGCATCGGCAGCATCAGCATCATCATCGACATCGTCATCCTGACAGTCATCATCACCAGCAGCAACAGCACCATCAGCACCAACATCATCATCAGAATTATCAGCATCACCCTAATAATCATCAACGTCATCAAATTCATCATGCCATCATCAGCATCACGATCATCATCAGGATCATCATCACCGTCAGCAGCACCATCATCAGCACAACCAGCAGCATCCTCATTATCAGCATCACCAACATCATCACTACAATCTCATCATCCCCAGCATCAGCATCACCATCATCATCAGCAGCACCATCCCACACATCGTAATCATCATCACAACCATCACCATCATCATCATCATCATCACCATCATCATCCTCAACATCAGCATCAGCATGACCATCACCATCACAAGCATGACCACTATCATCATCGTCGTCATCATCAGCATCGTCATCCTCCTTGGTAGCATCATCACCATCAGCACCCTCATCATCAGCGTCATCAGGAGCAGCAGCAGCATCAGTTTCAGCATCAACATCGTCATTATCAGCATCAGCACCAGCATCAACATCATACGCATCACCATCACCATCCCCAGCGTCACTATCATCATCACCAGCAGCATCATCAGCATCATCATCCTCAGCATCAGCATCAGCATCAGCATCAGCATCAGCATCGGCATCACCATAAACGTCGTCCTCCACAGCAGCACCACCGCCGTTCTCGGCATCGCCATGGCCAGAATCGCCATCGTCCTCTTCTCATGCATCACCACCATTCCCATCATACACCACCACCACCACCATCATCACCATCATCATCATCATCATCATCATCATCATCATCATCATCATCATCATCATCATCATCATCATCATCATCATCATCATCGTTCGGGGGAGGGGGGAGGAGGAGGGTAGACCCTAGCTGCAATCTTTGACTCTGATCCTGCATGGGGGGGGGGGCCTGTCGCAGGGCGCGCTGGCCCCTTCGACAAGGGAGGCATGAGCATGATCAACATCATCATCCCCCTGCCGCCCACTTCGCATATTTTCCTATTTTTTCCTGGGAATCGACGATTACTTGTGTCTGTGTGTTTTCTTCCCTCCTTATACACCCCTGGCACGCAACGTACTCCCTGCCCCCCTTCTGGCAGTCGACCGGGTGCAGCCCTTGCTGCGCCCAGGCTCAGCCCGGAGAGCCCTCCTCGCAAGGCGACCTCGATCGGCACCTGGAAAAAATTACCATCCAGTAACAGGGAAATAAAAAAAAACATAAACATAAAAACTCGGAGGTCCGCGCGGAGTTCTCGGAAAGGCGCTCGACCCCCCTCCCTGGCGCGCGGAGCGCGTCAGGGGCGGCACCGGAGGCGCCGCCAGGGGGCCCGAGCGCCGATCCGAGAAATCCGCGCGGACCTCCGAGTTTTTATGTTTATGTCATTCTTCGTTTCCCAATGTAATGGAGAACCCTGGGCCCGAGCCCTTTCCGGGAAAAAGCCGAGGAGGGGAGGAAGGAGATGTCACGAAGTCTGGCCCCCGAATTGCGAACGGTTGCTATCTTGACCGCGTGGCCGATACTTTGGCCACGTAGATGCGGATGTCTACACCTGAGAGAATATCATGTTTCCCTCCCCCCTTCTGCGAGCGACCGACAGCCGCCCAGGAGGCTTGGGGGTCACGAGACGATGGGTCGTTCTCCGAGGACGCCTCGAGCGACTAGGGCCTCGGGTCTCAAGACGATGCGGTGACAGACCGTGCGGTGACATCGGAATCCTGAAATGCCTCTCTGCACAGTCCGTCACCGCACCACCTTGGGACCCGAGGCCCCCATCGCCCGAGACGTCCTCAAAGAACGACCCGAGTCCCAAAACCGTGCGGTCACCCCGAATGCCCACTGCCGGAGCAGGGCGAGCTGAGACGAGGGCAGCTCGAGATCGGTCCCTGGACTCCTTCTGGGCTCCACGAGCAGCCGCTCCCCGAGCTGCAGCCCGCCGTGGCGAAGAGAGGGCCCTCCGAAGGCCAACTCCCATGGTCCCAGCTCGCCCTCCTCTGACGCTGAGTCACCACACGGCGCGGTCTCCGCACCGCGTGGGGGCCCGCGAACGAGGCCCCCGAGAAGGCCCCCGGCCGGCCAGCCCGGCGCGGTCCGCGGCGGCGCTGGCGGTCTGGCACACCTCCCTCAACGCCTGGACCTCGCGGCCGCGGGGGGGAGCCCGAGGAAGGTCCGGGTCACGAAGGGGAGTGCTGGCGGCGCGCACAACGGGGTATGGGGGGCGGGGGGAGGCTTCTTAGATCGAGGCTGCCTCTTAGAAGGCGCCGGCTCTACATCTACAGACAAGGCCCGCGCCTTCTAAGAAGCAGGGGTGCTGCTAAGAAGCCTTCCCACCTCACCCTACCCCCCTCTGCGCGTGGCCGAAAATGATTGGCATTTTTCGCCTCCTGGGGCCCCTCACCTGGCACCGGGTCCGTCAGGAAACGGCCTGGGACGAAAAGCCGGTTCTTGGGAAGGGTCCATACCTCTGGGGGTCGACGCTGTGACAAAATCACGACGTCGGAGTTTTGGGGACGGGGGCAGAAGAGAAGGGAGGAAGGGGAGGACCGGGAGGAAGGAGGGCAGAGGAGCGCTGACAGTCATTCTTTCTCACCGCCCCCGACGTTGAAACCGCCCAGGCCGTTGTACAGGCTGGCGCCCCTCCTCCTCCTCCTCCTCCTCCTCCTCCTCCTCCTCCTCCTCCTCCTCCTCCTCCTCCTCCTCCTCCTCCTCCTCCTCCTCCTCCTCCTCCTCCTCCTCCTATCCTCCTCCTCCTCCTCCTCCTCCTCCTCCTCCTCCTCCTCCTCCTCCTCCTCCTCCTCCTCCTCCTCCTCTCCTCCTCCTCCTCCTCCTCCTCCTCCTCCTCCTCCTCCTCCTCCTCCTCCTCCTCCTCCTCCTCCTCCTCCTCCTCCTCCTCCTCCTCCTCCTCCTCCTCCTCCTCCTCCTCCTCCTCCTCCTCCTCCTCCTCCTCCTCCTCCTCCTCCTCCTCGTCTTCCTCCTCCTCTTCCTCGCTCTTCTTGGGGGTGCGCCTTTTCGCCAGCACCCGCGTGGCCTGTCGCTTTCCGCCTGGGGCGCCAAGGACGCATTTTTTCCTGGGGGGGGGGGGGGGGCACTCCCCTCCGTGGCGCGTCGTGGTTTGTGAGCCCGCACGCCGAGTCCCCAGTGGCCACGCGCCTCAAAGCCAGGGTTGCAGTTGAAGGGGGAGGAGGAGGAGGAGGAGGAGGAGGAGGAGGAGGAGGAGGAGGAGGAGGCGGAGGAGGAGGAGGATGGGGAGGGGGATCCCCAAGAAGGGCGACGAGGAGGGGAGGAAGGGCGGAAGGGAGGAGGACAAAGACCTGATGGAGAGGAGCCCCGAGAAGGGGCTGTCCCTCGATCTGCACGGTCTGAGATCGTGCAAATCGACGGCCAGCCCCTTCCCAGGGCTCGTCCGTCACCCGCGCCGGGCGGCGGCCACAGGGCCTGCATAGTCGCCTTCGCCCCCGCCCCATTCTCGCTCAGGCCCGCCCGGCGGCGTCGGCATTCGGGCCCGCCGTCTCCGAGGCGGCGCCACGTCGGTGGGCCGACGGCACCTCTGGCGCGCCCGGAGGCATGAGCGGGAGACGGCCAAGGGCGGAGGAGACGGGCCCGCGGCCGCGGGGTGCGAACCACACGACCCCGCCGCGGGGCGCGCACACGCACCCGCCCACGGAGCGGGGGAGGAGAAGGGATCCCCGCCTCTCGCCTCGCCTCGCCTCGCCTCGCCTTCCGCCGTGTCAGCCGCGAACGACCAGCGGGCCGGAGGGCGGCGCTGCCCTTGCGGGACCAACGGAAGCGTAAGGAGGGGCAAAGAAGGCAAAGGAAGACAGCCAAAAGCAACGGACCCAGAACCTGCAAGCACGGCGCCGGCTGCGAAAGGCCACGGGGGCGGCGGCCATTCGGGCGAACCCGGCAGCCCAGCAGAGAAGGAGGGCAGAGCCCACCGAGAAGCCGCCCCCGGACGGTAAGGGGAAACCGCCGCCGGCAGAGTGCAGTGTGGAAACCCAGACACTTGACAGCGCAGCCGAACAGTGTGCTTGCCCTTTCCTTGCTTTTACCTCACCACGAGCACTTGCAGAGGTTGACACTAATGACCGCCTTCCGGTATCGATGGGCCGTTTTAGGGTGCCCACCTCGCCAGACCATGGCTGTAACCACCGCCGAGCAAGACCTGCGCCCAGGGGACGCACGTGACATGTGCCCACCCAGGCGGCGGTGCGCCTTGACCACGGGCGTCGCCTTCCTGCCTCTCCGTCCTCCCCAAGGGGAACAGTCCGAGGACCCAGCCGGCCCTGAGTGGAAGTGGGATACCGCCTCGATCTACTCTACGGCGCCATGTCATCACACTGGCTGAAGAGGAGAGACCGGCGCAAAGGAGGTACCCGTTGCGGTGGCTACCGACCGGCGTGGCCCCACCGCCGAGATAGCCCGTCAAGGAGAGGGAAGCGAGGAAGGGCGGAGCGAGAGCCAAAGGGAAGCCAGGCGGCGGCGGGCCAGAAGGGTCGAGATGGCGAACACCGCAGCCACAACGAATCTGGAAAAAAGGGAGGAGGAGGCGGAGGAGGAGGACGGAGAGGAGAAGGAGGAGGAGAGCAAGAGGAAGAAGAGGAGGAAAAGGAGGAGGAGGAAGAGGAGAGGAGGAAGAGGACGAGCCTCATCCTCCTGCCTCCTCCTCCTCCTCCTCCTCCTCCTCCTCAGCCAGCAGCAGCAGCAGCAGCAGCATCATCATCATCATCATCATCATCATCATCATCATCATCATCATCATCATCATCATCATCATCATCATCATCATCATCATCATCATCATCATCATCATCATCATCATCATCATCATCATCATCATCATCATCATCATCATCATCATCATCGCATCATCATCATCATCATCATCATCATCATCATCATCATCATCATCATCATCATCATCATCATCATCATCATCAATCATCATCATCATCATCATCATCATCATCATCATCATCATCATCATCATCATCATCATCATCATCATCATCATCATCATCATCATCATCATCATCATCATCATCATCATCATCATCATCATCATCATCATCATCATCATCATCATCATCATCATCATCATCATCATCATCATCATCATCATCATCATCATCATCATCATCATCATCATCATCATCATCATCATCATCATCATCATCATCATCATCATCATCCTACTCTTCTTCCTCTTGTTTTCCTCCTCTTACGTGCCTCCTCTTTCTTCCCCTTCTCCTCCTCCTCCTCCTCCTCCTCCTCGCCTCCGCCTCATCCTCCTCCTCCTCCTCCGTCCCTCCCTCCCTCCCTCCCTCCCTCCCCTCCTCCTCCCTCCATCCTCCCTCCCTCCTCCTCCTCCTCCTCCTCCTCCTCCTCCTCCTCCTCCTCTCCTCCTCCTCCTCCTCCGTCCCCTCCCTCCCTCCCCTCCCTCCTCCTATCTCCCTCCCGTCTCCCTTCCTCCCTGCCTCCTCCTCCTCCTCCTCCTCCTCCTCCTCCTCCTCCTCCTCATTTTACCTTTCCTGCTCCATCATCCTCCGCACGGCGGCGGCAGCGGCGGCGGCGGCGGCGGCGGCGACGACGACGACGACGACGACGACGACGACGACGACGACGACGACGACGACGACGACGACGGCGGCGGCGGCGGCGGCAGCGGCGGCGGCGGCGGCGGCGGAGGCGGCGGCGGCGGAGGCGGCGGCGGCTGCGGCAGCGGATGAGGGCGGCCGCCTCCTCCGACAGGAGCCCATCTGCTGACTCGCGAATCCAGCACCTCCCATCGCCCCGCCCTCCAGCAAGAGGATGATGACTAGGGCACGAGGGGAAGGAGGGGGACGGGAAGGGGAAGGGGATGAAAAGGAGGGGAGGAAGGGGAGGGGGAGGGGGAGGGGGAATGCTGCAAAACACCCTCCCTTCCCTGATCCCTTCTCACAAGCCCATACAGGTTTTCCTTTTCACTGTGAGGAACGCCCCCTTAAAAACGAGCGCCCCATGGGCGTTGCCATGCAGGCGAGAGAGGAGGCGTCTCGAAGAAACAACAATCTCCTCCTCATCATCCTCCTCCTTCTCCACTCCCACTCCTTCTTCCAGCCGGTGCGGTCTGTCAACACACGCCCACTGAAGGCGGGGCGCTTCGGCTCCACCAGAAGCTTGCCGAAGAAGGGCGAGAACGAGGCGGCTAGCCCGATGCCCTGGGTACGGGCGAGCAAGAGTCGGGCGTCCAGCAGGAGACGGGCGAGGCAAAATGCGCCACCGTGCCCCTTGGCACGTTGAGGCGTGGTAAAATTCCAAGTGCTCTCTGGTAGGGCTTCTGTAATGTTCTGCAGGACCCCGCACCTCTACTCGCCACATCCGTTTGCGTGCATCCCCTTCCCCCTTCCGAGGGTTCCTGAGCGACCCGACGCTTCCATGGTCTCTCCAAAGCGTCCAAGATTTCCAAGATGGATTTCAAGATACCCAAGACGGATTTCAAGACTGCCCAGGCAGGCCACCAAGGCCGCCAAGACTGTCCAAGATGCCTGCATGACAGCCCATGGTGGTACCACGACGGCCCAAGACGGCCTCAAGACTGCCCAAGAGGCTCTCAAGACGACCAAAGAGTGCTTCAAGACAACATCTGGAGCGGCCCGAAGGCCAAAATCACTGATTGGCCCTAAATGTTCGATGGAAGTTCGCATTGCCACCTTTGCGGGTTTTCGTCAGCTCCAAACGGCCCAAGAAGCGTATAAGTAAGATGGCCAAAGACAACCCAAGAAAGCCTCAAGATGGCCCGAGAGGCCACCAAGACGGCCTCGATACAGTCACCTGCTACCATCAGGAACGCTGTCTACGGAACGAAATGGCTTTCCTGCCACGGCGAGCCTCGGCTATGAGATTCCCCGATCTGGAACTGAGGAACGGCCCGAAAACCAGAACCCCATTGTTCGACGTCTTAGCTGCATCACCCACAAGGTTTCCAAGACGGCCCCGAGACGGCCCAAGGGGGCCCAGTACGGCCCCCCAAAAAACAGGAGGGGCCCCAGACGGCACAAAGAGGCCCCCAAGACCAAAGACCGACTCCGAAAGCTTCAGAAGGCCCACGAGCGCCCTCAGACGGCTCAAGGAGCCACTAAGAGCCTCCCAGGCGACCTCAAGGCGCCCCCCAAGAAGCGCCAAGAGGCCCCCAAAAGGCCCCAAGTGCTCCCAAGAAAGCCCCGTGACACATGTGACGGCCTTCCTCTTCCTCCTCCTCCTCCTCCTCCTCCTCCTCCTCCTCCTCCTCCTCCTCCTCCTCCTCCTCCTCCCCCTCTTCTTCTTATTGTTATGAGTATTCCTCCTCCTCCTCCTCCTCCTCCTCCTCCTCCTCCTCCTCATCATCATCATCATCATCATCATCATCATCATCATCATCACCACCACCACCACCACCATCATCACCATCATCATCATCATCATCATCATCATCATCATCATCATCAGTATCATCAGCATCGTTATCATCATCATCATCATCATCATCATCATCATCATCATCATCATCATCATCATCATCATCATCTTCATCATCATCATTGTCATCAGCATCATCATCATCATCATCATCATCATCATCGTCATCATAATCATCAGCAGCAACAGCAGCATCAGCATCATCATCATCATCATCGTCGTCACCAGCATCATCATTGTCATCATCAGCATACAATCATCATCATCAGCATCATCATCGTCATCAGAACCCTCATCAGCATCACCATAACGTCATCAGCAGCAGCATCAGCATCAGCATCAGCATCACTACTGCCGCCACCACCACCACCATCATCAGCATCCGCCTCATCATCATCATCATCATCATCAGCAGCATCATCAGTAGAATCATCAGCAGCAGCCGAATCAGCATCATCATCAACATCAGCATAAGCAGCAGCATCAGCATCAACATCATCGTCATCATCAGCATCAGCATCATCAGCATCAGCATCATCATCGTCATCATCAGCATCATTATCATCATCATCAGCATCATCGTCGTCATCATCAACATCATCATAGTCATCAGAACTGTCAGAATCTTCATCATCAGCATCATCAGCAGCAGCATCGTCATCTGTACCAGTAGCATCATCATCAGCAGCAGCATCGTCATCATCATCAGCAGCATCATCATCATCGTCATCGTCATCACCATCATCGGAATCATCGATCGTCAACGTCATCGGTACCAGCATCAGCATCAGCATCATCCTCATCGTCATCATCATCAGCAAGGTCATCGTCATCGTCATGGTCATCGTCACCGTCATCGTCGTCATCATCATCATCATCATCATCATAAGCATCATCATCACCATGATCATCATCGGCCATCACCCTCCGCATCCGCATCATCATCATCATCGTCGTCGTCGTCGTCGTCGCCATCGTCATCATCAGTAGTATCAGTATCAGCATGGACATCCTCATCATCAGCATGATCTTCACCATCGTCGTCTGCAGCCTGGTAATCATCAGCAGCAGCAGCAGTATCATCACCATAATGAATCGCCATCACCATCACGATCACCCGCATTACCAGCATCGTCACCACCCTCATTATCACCATCAGCATCGTAAGCCTCATCCATAACATCATCCTCATCATCCCCCTCATCATCAACACAATCGGCGTTATCGTCATCATCATCATCAGCATCTTCTTCTTCTTCATCATCATCATCATCATCATCATCATCGTCATCACCGTCACCATCGCCATCACCGTCACAGTCAACACCATTGTCGTCGTCGTCGTAAGAATCATCATCGGAATCATCATCATGCACATCACCATCGTCCTCCCAATTCATCCTCCTCCTCGTTCGCCTCCTCCTCCTCATCCTCCTCCTCCTCCCGTTCCTCATCCTCCTCTGCATCCTCTCTCCATGGCCCACCATCCTCAGCCGCAGCAGCATCTCTTCGGCGACAATGTCATCATCATCAACATCATTATCCTCCTCCTCCTCCGCATCATCCTCGTCATCAGCATTACCATCATCAGCATCATCATCAGCATCACCGACACCATCATATTCATCATCATCATCAGCATCATCATCATCACCACCATCATCATCATCATCATCAGCATCATCATGGATATCACCACTGCAATTACCGTCAGCATCGCCATCGTCATCATCATCAGCATCATCATCATCATCATCATCATCATCATCAGCAGCAGCATCAGCATCATCATCGTCGTTGTCATCGTCACCATGATTGCCATCACAATCACCATCACCGTCACAAAGTTCTCGTCTTCGTAAAGATCACAAGCATAATCGTCATCATCAGCAGCAGCATTATCATCACCAGCATCATCATCAGCATCAGCATGATCAATATCATCATAGTCTTGAACCAGCATCATTAGAGTCATCAGAATCAACATCCTCATCATCGTCATCATCATGAACATCAACATCGTCACCACTATTAATCCTCCTCCTCTTTCGACTACTCCTCCTGCTCCTCCTACTCTTCCTCCTCCTCTTCCTCACCCTCCTCTTGACCCTCTCTTCATGGCTCACCATTATCAGCAGCAGCATCACCATGGTCGTTACCATCGTCATCATCGACATCATCATCCTCATCCTCATCACCACCTTCATCATCACCACCGCCACCACCTCCACCACAATCATCATAGTTACCACCACTAAAATCATCGTCGGAAGTGTCATCATCAGCATCAGCAGCATCATCAGCATCACCGACACCAAAATCAACATCATCTCCCTGTCATTACGCGTCATCATTCTCTTCATCACAATCAATATCAGCATCATCATCATCATCATCATCATCATCATCAAAGTCAATACACCATCATCATCCTCAGCATCATCATCATCATCATCAGCATCATCATCATAATCATCTTCATCATCACCACCGCCACCACCTACACCACCATCATCATAGCTATCAACACTAAAATCATCGTCGGAATTGTCATCATCAGCATCAGCAGAATCATCAGCATCACCGACACCAAAATCGGCATCATCTCCCTGTCATTATGCGTCATCATTCTCTTCATCACAAGCAGAATCGGCAGCATCATCATCATGAAAGTAGATACATGATCACCATCATCATCATCACCATCATCGTGTGAAAAAAATGGCCTCACCATCATCATCATCATCATCATCATCATCAGCAGCAGCAGCAGCAGCAGCAGCATCAGCATTAGCATTATCACTATCATCCCCATCATCATCAGCATCATCACGAAAGTCACCGTCACCACCATCATCATCAACATGATCGTCTTCATCATCACCATCCGAATCGACGCCATGATGACCAGCATCATCATCAGCAGCAGCTGCATCATCACTAAAATCAAAAAAGATCATCATTATCATCGTCATCATCATCATGTGATAAAGATCGGCGTCACCATCGTCATGATCATCATCACCATCATCATCATCGTCATCATCATCAGCATCATCACGACAGTCACCGTCACCACCATCATCATCAACATCATCGTCGTCGTCATCACCATCCGAATCATCGCCATGATGACCATCATCATCATCATCATCATCATCATCATCATCATCATCCTCATCAGCATCATCATCCTCATCATCAACATCAGCAGCTGCATCATCATTATCGTCGTCATCATCATCGTCGTCGGCGTCGTCGTGATCATCATCAGCAGAGCATCACCATCCTCGTCATCGTCATCATCATCATCATCATCAGTACCATCATCATGATCATCATCAT